TCAGCGTGACTTAGAGAAAAACGGCGTCGTCCCCCAACCTTTTTGGCGAGGTATGGAGAAACACTCACAATAGGGCTTCAGTGGCAACCCTTCGGCACAACTTAGAGAAGAACAGCACCGTTCCCCCAACCTTCTCGGCAAGGGATGGTGAAACGTGCTCGACAGGGCTTCAATGCCAGCCCTTCGGCGCATCTTAGAGAAAAACAACGCCGTCTACCAACCTTTTCGGCAAAGGATGGCGAAACGTGCGCGATAGGGCTTATGTGCTAGCCCCTCGGCGCAACTTAGAGAAGAACGGCACCGTCCCCCAACCTTTTTAGCAAGGGATGGCGAAACACGCGTGATAGGGCTTCGTTGCCAGCCCTTCAGCGTGACTTAGAGAAAAACAACGTTGTCCCCAACCTTTTTGGTGAGGGATGGAGAAATGCGCGTGATAGGGCTTCAGTGCTAGCCCTTCAATGCAACTTAGAGAAGAACAACGCCGTCCCCCAACCTTTTTGGCGAGGGATGCTGAAACGCGCGTGAAAGGGCTTCAGTGCTAGCCCTTCGGTGGAACTTAGAGAAAAATGGCGCCGTCCCCCAACCTTTTCGGCGCAACTTAGAGAAGAATGATGTAGGCCCCCACCTTTTCTTACTAATCAACCAACGTTTCGCTCGCTAAGGACAAAAGGCTTGCCGACGAAACCAATGGCGGAAGAAGCCATTGGATTTCACCGGGTTTGCTCAGGAAAGCTCAAAAGCTTTCGACCTACCTTTCACCCGGCTCGACGAAACCAATGGCGAAAGAGGCTGATGGTTTTCACCTGGTTTGCTCAGGAAAGCTCAAAATCTTTCGACCTACCTTTCACCCAGCTCGGTGAAAGCAATGGCGAAAGAGGCCGTCGGTGTCGTCTCCCAACCTTTTCGGTGAGGGATGGCGAAACGCGCGCGATAGGGCTTCAGTGCCAGCCCTTCGGTGCAACTTAGAGAAAAACGGCACCGTCCCCCAACCTTTTCGGTGAGGGATGGCGAAACACGTGCGATAGGGCTTCGGTGCTAGCCCCTCGTCCCCAACCTTTCCGGCGAGGGACGAAGTGTAAATTAGCCCTTAGGCTTTCGTTTTTTCGACCTCACGCTTTTTTGGAGGGACGAAGTATAAATTGGCACTTAGGCTTCCGTTTCTTCGCCCTCATGCATTTTTGAAGGGACAAAGTGTAAATTAGCCCTTAGACTTTCATTTCTTGGCCCTCATGCATTTTTGGAGGGACGAAGTGTGAATTAGCCCTTAGGCTTTTGTTTCTTCTCCCTCACACATTTTCGGAGGGACGAAGTATAAATTAGCCCTTAGGCTTTTGTTTCTTCTCCCTCACGCATTTTCGGAGGGACGAAGTGTAAATTAGCCCTTAGGCTTTTGTTTCTTCGCCCTCACTATTTTTGGAGGGACGAAGTGTAAATTAGCCCTTATGCTTTCGAGATGAGGAGTCTGCTTGAGATCTCCAGCTAATAGATTGACTATGCAACCTTTTACCTACAGGTGCTGCTGCCAATATCCAAGCTTTGGTCGTGTCTAAGCTTGTTTCGGCGTTTGGTGCTTGACTTCACTTATATGTCTTGAAATACCCTTCTGCAAAGGTTTCTTGTGCAAGGAAGAGGAGTATGATTCCCCTTGATTTTTGCGGAAAGCGAAATTTAAACAAAAATTACATTACTATCCGCTAGGTGATATGAGTTATGTTGGCTGTAGATAGAAGCCAAGTAGATTGCCTACGTTTTGTGTGTGTGTTGTTTCGGCCCCTTGGTTGTTCACTAGCCGAAAGGTTTCTAGCTTTAGCATTTCTACCAGGACGAAAGGTTCATATCATTGTGATTGAAGCTTCCTTTGTACTGTTGTTGTTGCTGTTATTTTTCCTGGATTTGCTGCAACACCCCTGGTCGAAATCCACCATCCTTCGGCTTTCCCTTCTAGATGCCAAAAATGCACTTGCCTGGGTTGAGCTTTTGATCAATCTTGAGGAGGTTCATTGGAGTCTCTTGCGGGTTTCGAATGTGTTTTTCTCTCTTATCGGACTTCACCACTATATTGTTGGCGTAGATGAAAAGTTTCTTCTGCTTCTTCTTGTGAAAACGCCATCTGTCTTTCTGGACAAAGTGGTGTCTGCAATTCGTAGCCCTTCCGGCATGCGACGATAATGATGCGAGCCACCTGGGGTGATGGAGCTTGTTTTTTCTTCGTCCTTGGGATCTGATCAGGTTTGGTGATAACTAGAGGAACAATCTAACTGACTCATCATCTCGTGTCCGACTGCAATGTCCACTAGCTCGCCAATTCTTGGCGAAGGGGTACAGATCCTTCGGGTAATGCTTGTTTAAGTTTGTGAAATCAATGCATATGACTGCGACCGCATTTCCTAACCATTTCGGGCACTGAACGAATCTGACGATCTCAACATATGGCAATCTTTGGACTTTAGCTTTCGCTTCTTCAGCTCTCTTGGACCCTTTCGCCACATACAGGCTGTGTTGTGCTAGATATTGGCTAACTCTGCGATTCTTTCGATGACCAAGCAAAAATATTGCTGTTCTCGTGTAAGAATGAAAGGAGCTCTTGCTTCTCTTCGACTGATAGGTCTGTGCCGATATGGACACAACTGTCAGGTGCTGCTTTGGATAGAGGAGTTTTCTGAGTGTCTTCTCCAGCTTCTGCCCTTGGGCTAATGATGTTTTCATCAGTTAATTTGGCTTCTTCCGACTTCTTGGTGCGTCGTCTTTTTCCTTAAGCTCTCTAGCCATCTTACTATATTTGCAATCATTGGAGATATGCCTGGCGCTTTCGCCGCATGTGAAACAACACAACGCCTTTTGGCATTCGCTCCTTCTTCTGTCATCTTGTCCATCATGAAGTGACGAAAAGTCAAAACCGCAATAGGGTTTAGACTGCAATGGGCGGGAGTCAACCTGATCTGGCATGGACTATTCTGAATCTTCTTGTAGGTAGTTTGTCGAATGGAAAGGTTTCACATTTCATTTCATTGATGCCTGCCTTAGAGGACTGCGTGCTGCCTTTCATCGCCTGTAATCATCATCTAATCTTGCATAACGGTTCATGACTTCGAAGAGTTCTTTTACTATGGCCGGCGGCTTTCAGGTGAAATGCGCTGCACAATCCCCCATAGCCAAGCCTTCGATGGCCGCTGCTATTACTACTGCTTCCAGCACATTCGGTGCCTGCACCTTGAGCTGGATAAATCTTTTTAGATAGTCCGACAAGGCTTCGTCATCTTGCTGAACGCAATTCATGAGATCCCTTGTGGTTTTCGTCTTTAGCCGGTACCCGTTGGAAAGTTGCTAGAAGCTCTGCTTTGATCCGGTGCCATGAGTGAACGGAAAGGGGTTTCAATGACATGTACCAGTCATGGGCGACGTCTTCGACCACCAAGATAAGAGATTTTGCCAGAGTCTGGATATCCCCTCCAGCCGAATAGACTGCTGTTTCGTAGCTTGCTATGAAGTTCCCCGGATTGGTCTTTCTGTCAAACAGCGGGATGCAGGGTTTGTAATTATGTGGCCATGGGTGCTACTGCAGCTCTTTTGATATCGGAGATGTTGGGTCATACATTTCTATGTTTTCGTCCAGAAGGCCTATATCCGGGGAGACAGTGCTTTCGTGGACATGGTTTGTGCTTTCGCCGCCTGCTCTCTGGAGCTGCTGAATCTCTCTGATCAACCTTTCTCTGTGGCTTTCGGCCTGTCTGATTGCCTGACAGATCTGTTCTGCCCTCTTTCGTACTACAGCCTGCTTTAGTAGTTGGTCCTTTTCATGCTGCAACTTAAGGATCTGTTGCTGATAAATATCTAACCTTCTCAAGTCTCTTGCTTGGTCGGAGATTTCGCCATCTTCATCTTCAATCACGATCGGATCGGTGATCACTTCTTGAACATGTCCTTCTGTCATACACTTTGGTCTGCCGGATGATCTTGTTTTGCCACCTTGCACTTGCGGGGCGGTTGGTGATCCCTAGCTCCTGTTGATATCATCATCGTTGCTGAAGTTGCTGCCGCAGCGCCGGTTGCTGTTATCACTGTGGCGCCAACCGTAGCTTCCATTGATGACTCTGTATTGTCGTTACCTGTTTTTGCTCCTTTCCTTCCGGCCATGGAAAGCTCGAGCAATAACCACGGTGGGCGTCAGTGTTGTTCTACGCCTTAGCTTTCGAACATTGGGTTGTCGCTCAAGTGACCGAAAGCACCAAAGTAACCGAACGAAAGGAACAGCAAGAACAACAAGCACTTACAAACGACTCAAGGCATTAGGGTTCCATTCCTCTCTCCTACACATCTCTCCTGGAGCTCAATTTATACATATCTGTATCTTCTACAAGGACGGAAATGTGCCTCCAACTACCCAGATCCTAAGGCATATTCCAAATCGTCGGTGCATTTCTGGTGCATTCCACCTTTGGCCTCCCCCAGTAAGCGCCTTCCTCACATGGTCCCTTCTGCTTTACAACTGGCACAAGGGGGGCCGCCAAAGGAACCACTTTGCCTCTATTGTTCTGGCCGCCTCCGCATTTTGGTAACACAAAGACGAAAAGGGATTACCTGCACAACATGCGCATACCAACTCAAAATGAAAGTGTCATGCTGAGCGAAAGGGCTTTTGCACCCTTCTGACAAAATGCCGTCAACACGGCCGAGAGACCTTTCGGCTAGTCGAAAGGCCTTTCGGCCAACCGACGGGCGTTATCTCCCGGTGACCATGCCGGTAGCCAAATGTCAATGCCGATAAGTGATGGCCGAAAGACATTTCGGCTAGACGAAAGGCCTTTTGGCCAACCGACAGGCATTATGCCTTGATAACCATGTCGACAGCCAGACTCTAATGCCGAAAGGTGATGATCGAAAGACCTTTTGGCTTGACGAAAGGCCTTTCGGCCAACCCGGTTGCTTTAGCGGGCCTTTCGGCAATCGTTGGTGAAATAAGGTTGATAGATAAAGGGAAATAGGGGGACCGAAACATCGTGTCATCCCCCAACATCCACCATGGCCAAGAGGCCATCGCACGCGTCCAGGAGGAAGAGGAACATGGAGTACTGCGTGCCCTTGTTGACCTCCGTGGACAGCGTGTCCTTGGACTTTGCGTCGCCATGCCCACGGCGGGGCTTGAGCTGGCCACCACGAGCTGGCAGCCCTGCACTGGACTCTGAGCACAGCGCTGGTGCGGCGCCAGGCTCGTAAGGGAGTTTTAGGACCTTGAACCCGTCCATGCAAGCGATGTCCTGCCACCTGATGCTGCTGGTCATTAGGCCGTTCACCATGAACTCTGCCTCGGCAAGGTCTCCGTCGAGCCGATGGAATGTGCCCCGCTCCGTGAAGAAGTGGTTGAACGGCTCCAGCCACGCGCCCTTGAAGTATACAGCATTGGTGAGCACGAGGTCGGTGTTGGCGTTGATGTCGCTGGTGGAGATGACAGAGTCGATGAGGTTGTCAGTGGCCTTCTTCACCCACGAGTAGATCATCTTCACAGCGGCCTCAGGCTTCCAGTATCATATATGCGTGTATGTGTTATTAATGAACTTGCGTGATGGATCACAATATATATGTGCAAATGTAAGGTAGTAAAAATGAACACATGAAAAAGCCCGGGTTAAGCTGTTTATTTATGATCAGTGATCTAAAAATCAAGTTTGGTAATACAAAATTTGTAAATGATGACATGTAATTTTCTCTGTATCAATCCAATCCTAATAGAATGCAAAATTAAACGCCAAATGATCTAAATCCATTCAGCATCTTGATAACAATATTGATCATCTAACAAAGAGAGTTGAAGTAGAGATATCTCCTATCTCCTATTACATATATATTTATATTTATACAACTAAAAACAACAAAACTAAGACAATCGAATGGTGCGACAATCCTTCGGGTCGTCGCTCTGCCCGACGTGCGATCCCGCAAGCGGAAGCCGCGATACGTCGTGGGACCGACTGCACTCGAGCCTGATCAAATCAGTAAGGCAACGCACACTCGCTCCATGCGATCAGCTCAATCCCCATAACAGCCGCAGCAAATCAGGAAGGCTGAAATCAATTCCCGTAACAATCGTGATCAATTCCGCGATCACCCCACGCCGCCAATCACACGAGACCGCGCCCTCACCTGCACCGCGACCTCCCTAGCACTCTGCACTCGCACGGAACCGCGACCTCACCTCTTCATGCCTGGCCCTCGCACCACCTTCGCCATCGCACACGTCGTCCGTCGGTCATCGTTCAATCACGGCTTGTCCCCATCTGATGAGGACATCACTTCTTCAGAGGCACCTACTGATCCTCCAACCGTCATGCAAGGTCCAATGACCCGGGCTCGAATGCGACAACTCAATTTAGAGGTGAACTCGTTCTTAAGCGATCCTTTTCATACTTTTGAGAATAGACTACTACCTAATGATGTTATCTTGCTTAGGAACATTGGAGAGGGTCATGAGGGACTTAGAGGATGTGGTGGATGCGATGATGACCAGCAAGGACATCTAACAGAAACCGGAGGCCCGATCCAACATGATTTCGAGTCTGTCTCGGCCTCTAGGACCAGTCTGCTCTAAACTGGTCACTCAGGACGCATCCGGACGTCGTTTTCGACGATCCACATATGGATGGAAAGCTAATTTGATAAGGAAGCCAATCCAAGTGGTCTCACATCAAAAGCTCTTTGGAATCAATAGAAATCGTCGAAACAAGTCAGCATCTAGAATCTGCCAGGGTGCTGCGACACCTTCTTTTGGTCCGTTGGACCGTGTATCATGTTTGGGCCATTAGGGGGTGCATTCAGGGTAGGCGATGACCCTAAGACCTTTATAATCATATGTCGCCGCCATCATTAGGTTTTGGGGTATTGCTTAGATTATTCTGTCAATAACAGTTTCGCCGTTCATTGGTTTGTGAGACCCCAACTTTGACAGATTACTCATTCATCTTCAATTTGGTTGTGTTCTTTCTTGTTCTTGCTTGTGTTCTTTGTTGCGCAGGCAGGGATTAGCCTTCTTGGCGAGGTCAACCTGGTCCGTGACTCGGTTGATAACCAGAAGAGCTGTGGTGCTAAGATTGCAGGGTTCGATCTTTCGATCTCAAGCCGGATCGGTGTGTCATTCTCCGCCACAATGATAGTTACCACCACCTGACGGAAGATCGAGATACCTGTCTCCATTAAGTGATAATCAGAGCTAAGGTATATCGTCAGGTTTACATTTATTCCATAGTATTGAGTGTTTCGCATTCGTCCCATAGTCCAGTGCCATACTCGTTTTTCCTATCCTAGAACCTTCCGCGCCATAGCCTTTGCATATTTCAGTTTCAGAGTCCGTCGTGTTGAGTTTGTGTCCTAGTCGAGGTCTTGTTGCTGGTTAGGTCATGTTAGAGTCCAGTTCGTGTGTTTTTCTTCATCGTTTCCATCAAATTCTTGCTGCCATGACCACTTTTGCGCACATTATTCCCGTTTTGTCCTCTAATTCGGAGCCGATTCTTAAAACTAGTCTAGTTTTCGCATACGAACTTCGATTTCGATGTTCCATATATCAAAATCGATCAGAAAAAAATTTCGGATCCATCCATCCCGCAACTTGTTGGGGTCAGAAAATTTTTTCGTGGTCAAAAAGTGGTCACAAGATCCTCTTTTCATGGTCACAAGCTTTCTGTCAATTTTGATCACATTTTCTAAATTTTCCACAGGCCACGTCTTTCACTTGTTTAAGCTCATATTTTCTGTGCTTACTTCTTTTGTGCTCTTAAGTGAAGGAAAATTATCAAAAAAATAAAAAGAAAAAGTCAAAATTTCTCAAAAAACAACGATAGCCCAAAAACTGAGAAAAAAGAGATGGGTAAAAGTGGAACAATATCTAGAGGAGCACATAGAGAAGGCCAAAGTGAGCTGTGTTAGCGTGTGCTGTCTAGTTCTTTGTTCGTGTTATCTTGCTATCCACCATACTTGATTTTCACATACCTGGCACCTTGCTATCCGCCATATTTGTTTGTCACACGCCTGACACTTGGAATATTTTAGACCAGCAACGAGAACAAGTACTTTGGACTATAATTCAGCATTACTTTCTGTTACTGACTTATGTGCCAAATATTCATATTACTCTTTGTGTGCCTTCCAAGCTCCACAAATTCTTCAGATCAGTACAGAAAAAGAGCCTTGCAATCTCGGTACCACTGCCTCACAGGTATCATGAAATAGCCGCCAGTTGTACCGCCCACTGCTTGTGTTGGTAAGAACTTTGTAAGAGCTTGGTAAGACGCTTCCACTTGCTATGAAAAGTGACACCACTGCCACCACGTAATCATTTGGTAGGGATAACTTTCACCGTTTGTTCTTATTTTTGTGTTTACAATGGCAGGAGGTGATCAGACCGGAGATAACAATCCTAAGGGTTTCAACAAGTGTGTAAGCCAAGAGCAACTAAAAGCTACTGTAGAGGATGCCCAAAAAAGGATGAATGAGGCCGTTAGGAAGGCCGTCACTGACGCACTCATTGAACTCAACATTGGCAACAGCATGGAGAGATTGGACAAACGCATTTCCACGCTAACCAACAAGGTTACTGAGTTGGAGACATTGGTGTCGGTCAACAACAATGACCTCTCCGGCAGCAACACCGATGGTCTCTTGCCAGAAGACATGGTGCATGATGCCGCTTGGAACATAGATCGAGCAGCCTTCCGACAAGCAAGATTACGACGACGTCTTCACCGCAACACAACAGGTATGGGTGGTGTCCACCACCATCAAGGTAATAATCACCGTGTACCCGATGATCCTTATGCTAAGATTAAGTTCACAATACCGTCTTTTTCGGGTCATTATGATGCTGAGGGATATCTTGATTGGGAGATGACAGTAGAACAAAAGTTTAGTGCCCACCTTGTGCCTCAGCATCATAGAGTACGACAGGCTACTAGTGAGTTTAAGGATTTTGCCATTATTTGGTGGAATGGGCTAGCTCCACAGGATGCTTTACCTGGTACGTGGGAAGAACTTAAGGTAGCTATGCGTGATCGCTTTGTTCCTCCTTATCATAGTAAGAAATTGATGTGTTTAGAACAAGGAGATAAATCTATACAGGATTACTATGGTGAGCTCCAAAAGGGATTGATACGATGTAGTGCTGTGGAGGGAAACGAAGATGCCATTTGTCATTTTTATTCGGGTTTGAGGCGTGAGATTCAGGACATTGTTGATTATAAAGAATTTAACACTGTCAACCAGTTGTTTCAGTTTGCTATGCTTGCAGAAAAGGAATAGCAGGGGCATGAACAGCAGAGCAAGAGCAAGGTCAGCACCACCACATACACGCCATGCTCAGCACCATCTTCGGGGCTGACCAAGCCAACCACTTTTCGGGTGCCTCCACCAGTGAGCAAGCGACCAATAGCCTCTGAAGTTTCCGCTACACCTAAGGCACCTCCCACACGACCTTCAGATTCAGGTAAAAATTCTTTGCAGGTGCCTACCAAGAGTTCCTCATCCGTTGCATTGACGGGATGCACTTCGGGCATTCAGTGCCACCGCTGCCATGGCATTGGCCATGTGCAGAAGGACTGCCCAAGTCAGCGGGCATATATTGCTACAGAAGATGGTTACATCAACACCTCTGACATTGAGGATGAAGAAGACCAATATACAGATGAGCAGGATGGTGAAGTCCTTGGTGATGAGGCCACAGCAGCCTATAGGAGCATCATTGTATAGCAAGTGCTCAACTCACAAGTCCAGCAACCTGAGAAGCTACAACGCCATAACTTGTTCTAGATTTTCTTCGTCATCAGCGTCTGTCGCGCACGTGTCATTATTGATGGAGGTAGCTGCAACTATTTGGTGAGTTCTGATTTGGTCAAGAAGCTTGGCTTGACCACACGCCCACACCCACGTCCATACCATATTCAGTGGTTAAATGATTCTGGTAAAGCAAAGGTAACACAAACTTGCAGAGTTTCATTTTCCATTGGTTCTTATGCCGATTCTGTTGATTGTGATGTGGTACCTATGCAAGCTTGTTCACTCTTATTGGGTCATCCTTGGGAACATGATAATGATGCTACACACCATGGTAGAAGTAATAAGTACACTTTTGTGCATAAAGGAAAGAAAATTACTTTGGTACCTTTGACCCCATCTCAAATTGTACAAGCTGATAGAGAACGCGCTGCTAGTTTGAATGATGTCCAATCTAAAAATCAACAAGTTGCTAATTCTATTTTGCCACCTAAAAAGGATAAGCCTACATCTATTTCTAAGGGTGAGGGGATTAAATTGAAGGGTGGTGTTATGCTTGCAACAAATGTGACTTTGCTGAAATTTCTGATGATGATATTTGCTATGCTTTGGTATGCAAACGAGCTATGTTTTCGCTTGATGATATTGTTAGCTTGGTGCCTCCTACTGTCACTAACCTTTTGTAGGAGTATGAGGACATTTTTCCAGCTCAGATACCCCTGGGGCTGCCATCTATGAGAGG